GGTCACTCCGCCCCTGGCCTTAACCCCACCACTGCAATCTTCCAATCTATGAATGGTGGAGGCAGAGCTAACAGTCATCTCCTCCTCCTCCATTTACAGATCACATTTCATTCACAGAAGCTGTACTAGGACCGTCAATGAATGGTGGAGCTAGGCGGAAAGCATGGGCACATTCAGGCTCCTTTGATGACAGCCCCTTAGTTGTATTAACCCCCACTGCACCAGATGATTATAGTGGTGGTGGTGGGGGTGAGGAGATGGGGGGCAGGACAGAGGAGAAGTATGACTAAGCAGAGGAGCCAACACATTGGACATATCCTACTGAATGTGCATTATGTCCCTTGTGATGATTATTTTGTTTTTGTTTTTTTGTTTTGTTTTTTTTTAGGTTGCCCTAAAAACTGAACGAGAAAAAGAATCTCAATTTCCTCCAAAAAAAGCAAGATATTAACCATTGCACTGCTGGTTTTGCATGAAGGGGGGGGCAGGGAGGGCAAAAGCTTTTTAAAGTGTAAAGCCAAGAACGCATTGTACTGAAGTAGCTTACCAGTCCTCAAATGTGGTGACTGTGTTTTTTTCACATTTTTATTTCTTTATTTTAACCTGGTAATCTAACAATGAACTTATCTCCTTCCCTAGGGTGACAGTTGCACTAAGCAGCGTTGTCACCCTAAAGCTGGCCATACATTACACAATTTTCTTATTCAATTTCCTTTAGATTTACCTTTAACTATGTAGCGCAGGGGCCTGTCTGATTGCACACACATTGAAAGTGCTTAGGCTTGACCTCATATTATATGGTTTTGGAAAATCTAAAGGAAAATTGTACAAGAAAAACAGGTAGAATGTTAGGATTACATAACACTGTGCTAGGACTATAAAACCCCTCCCTCTCTTCTCCAGAACAGGGGGAGTTGTTTATAATCCACAGAGATAGCAGGGAACAAAGCTATGTGATAACTTTCCAGAGGCAGACAGTACAGGATATTATCCACACGATTTCTGGCTGGATGAACAGCTTTTTTGCACCTAAAGTGTTACTAAACCCAAACAGTAAAATCAGTCTGTATATGCAGTAAAGCATGCTTGTTATACTCACTGTGGACCCTAAGGGGTTAATCCTCTGCATTGTGTAAAAAGGCTGTTTGATCCTGTCTTCTCTGACCCTCCCCTTCTTCTACTGTCCCCATTTCTTCTCCTGATAGAACAGAGCCTTGGGGGCAAGCTGCACATGCTCAGTTCAGTGTGTATTGCAAGAGAGTTTTTTTTCTTTTTCTTTTTGAGGGTGCATGTGATCAGCCCAGGGCTGTCCATACAGAGGGTCAGGGGTCATGCAGCCTCATAGGACAGTCAAAGGAGAATGAAAACTCCTCCTACAAGATTAACCAGTGATCAACCGGACACTGAAGTCACAAGACTGCTCTAACTGCTGATGAGAAAAGGTATTTAGCATTTTATATTTACTAAAATAATTGAATTTCCATGTTCTGTGTACTGTGGGAGACCAGATATAGTGAATGCAGGGTCACGGGTTTTAGTAACACTTTAATCGGACTTGTACCTATTTTTCTACTTGTCTACTTTTTTTTAATGTGGTCAAATTGTTTTTGTTGCAGATGGGAGGGGATGAACCATTGTTCTATTGGCTGCCTTTGAATATCCCTGCATGAAACGTTATCAGGAAATAAATATGTTTCTTTCAACAACTGTTCAGCAAGGATGTTGATTGTGCTACCTGACATACAGATACATAATAGAGAAAGATCCTACAACTCTGTAAATGAAAAGCAGTCAATTAAATGTTTGAAACTCATAAAATTTGCTTTTAAATAAAACTTCACATTAAGGGCTGATTCACGCGTTAGAAACGCAGTCCAGATGCGTTCCGAATGTGTTTTTGCATGCGTGTTTGTTATGCATTCCGGTGCATTTTTGATGCGTTTTATATGCATTTTATTTCTCCCCCTCTCTTTTTCTTCAATTTAAATAGGGACATGTGTGTTCCAGTATATTTTTGGGGTGCGTTTCAGATGCATTTTACCGTCTTTAAGTACAGTTCTGTGCAAGAAAAATGCAGCCTGTTCTACTTTTTTTTCTGCATCTGGAATTGCAAGCGCTGATGTGAACTATGACACTGACAACCATATAACCTACTTTCTGTGCATTTTTGATGCAGAAAAAAGCACACTGAAATGCATGTAATGTGAACTGGCCCTCAAAGCTCAAATTGATTCTACTGTGATAAAATATAACATTTTCCTTTTCTTATAAAAGATTGACTTAATTGTCATCAGACAAACAGAAAGCGATCTGTAGCTGTTAGGGCTCTTGTGGGATTCAAAGTGTTAATGCCGAAAGTATCTGTTGGACTTTGTATCTATAAAGTTAGACACACATCTAGGAAAGAATCCTAATAATGACACACTAGTAACCTAATTCTGCAGAGCAAATGCCACCGACTGACAAAGCAAACCTGAGACATCTTACTGTCACGCTGCTACAAAAGGAGTTGTAAAGTGTTGTTATAGGTAGGCAGGATCATATGCCATGAGATTATTTGATTCTCTCTCAAATTCTGCACCAGCCAAGTTCATCTGTAGCATGCAGGCTCTGGGGTTTACACGATCTACTTTGTTGAAAGCTAAAAAAAAAAGAATAAATGTCGGTGGAGCTGGCTGTATATTTTAGGTTTATGAGAGATGCTATTGCTTGATTGAGCAGTAAGGGCAGAAGAAAATCTCAGATCATGGGTCACATTTCTAGCCTCGATTTTAGCCTGGGTTTTTCACATAAGCACACCAGAAATGTGGATTTGTATTAATGCTACACAACACAAATCCTGCTACAGCAATATTCCAACACTCCTTGTTATCTCATTTATTTCTCCTATTAAAGTCTAAGGGCCGGTTCAAACTATAGAAAAGCAGTCCAGATGCGTTCTGGATGTGTTTTTGCATGTGCGTTTTCGGCACGTTCCGCTGCATTTTTGACGCATTCCAGTGCATTTTTTATGCATTACAGTTAATTTTTTCCTCCTCGCTTTTTATTCAATTTAAACAGGGACAAGTGCGTTTCAGTGCGTTTTGGTGCATTCCGGTACAATTTTGATGTGTTTTACTGTGTTCCAGTTCGGTGCAGAAAAAAATGCAGCATGTTCTACTTTTTTTTATGCAACTGGAACTGCAAGCACTGATGTGAACTATGACATTGACAACCATATAACCTACATTCTGTGTGTTTTGGATGCAGAAAAAAAAAGCAACTGAAACACATGATACACAGAATATAACTGGATACTAACATTTATAGGTAAAGTTGATCCAGGGACCAATAGGTAAAGTTGATCCGATTTCCTCTCAGGGGATCAGGAAGGAATTTATTTCCCTGCAGGAGCAAATTGCATCATGCTTTGCTGGGGTTTTTTTGCCTTCCCCTGGATCAACTGTGGGTCAGGGGCGGACTGACCATTTAGAAACTCGGGCACTGCCCGAGGGCCTGGGGTCAGTAGGGGGCCCCATGAGATGCCCCTGGTACCTTTTTCATAGGCTTTTCTGACTTTGGGCAAGGACACAGGGGCCCCATGATCCCCTATTGCCCGGGGGCCCATGAGTTGTCAGTCCGCCCCTGCTGTGGGTATAGGATTATAACTTTTTTTTTCTATGGTTGAACTGGATGGACTTTTGTCTTTTTTCAGCCATACTAACTATGTAACTATGCATGTAGTGTGAACTGGCCCAAACACCAGGAAAGATAAAAACACTCCCTTGCAGTAAGGATTTGCCCGCACTGCAAGGGTTAACTGTTCATTTATGTCTATGTGACAGAAAAGCACTTTTACTTACCTAATCCTCCACTCCCCCGGTGGATAATGTTCCCCGCGCTCGGGCAGTGGTTTGTCCTCTGCATGCTCACATCCATTGCAGAGCTTGAAACCGTCAGAGGACCTTAGTTCAGAGGAACGATGGCTGTAAGGACTGTTCTAACAGATGAGCCCGCTCATACTTGTACCTGCAGTGCAAAGCATATCCTCTTGCCAATTGCATCACTTAGATGTGCAGTGGCCAGGTGGCTCACCTGCACTGGAACAAATACTGTACCTAGTGCGTGATCCAGCTCTTTCGGGTGGGGGAGCGCGTATATAATTAGCACTATTCACTGTATTAGTGTCACTGGTTCCCACAAAGTGTCAGTTAGTGTCAGATTGACCGCCGTACTATTACAGTCCCGCTTTAAGTTTCTGATCACCAACTTTACTAGTATAAAAAAAATGAATAACAAAAAAGAAAAAAAAATATATATCCCACAGTATACAACCCACAGTTTGTAGATGCTATAACGTTTGCGCAAACCAATCAATGTACCTTTATTGGGATTTTTTACCAAAACTTTGTAGCAGAATACATTTTGGCCTAAACTTATAAAGAAATTTGATTTTTTAAATTTTTTTATTGGATGTTTTATAGCAGAAAGTAAAAAATATTTTTTTTTTTTTTTTTTTACAAAATTGTCGGCCTTTTTTCATTTACAGGGAAAAAATGAAAACCTAGAGGGGATCAAATACCACCGAAAAAAATCTCTACTTGTGTGAAAAAAATAATATAAATTCCATGTGGGTACATTGTTGCAAGACCACACAATTGTCAGTTAAAGGTAACGCAGTGTGGTATAGCAAAAAATAGCCTGGTCAGGAAGGGGGTAAAATCTTCTGGAGGGCAAGTGGTTAAGGTGGTTTTAAAGGAAATGAAAAAAAAAAAAAAAACAAAAAAAAAAACAAACATGTCTATACTTACCTGCTTTGTGCAACAGAATTGCACAGAGCAGCACCTAACATCCTCTTCTGGAGTCCCCTGCTGGAGTACCTGGTTCCTCCTCTCTGGCTGGTTCCCTCAATAAGAAGCCACTTCCCATGGGGCTCTCGTGGGGGCCTTCTCCGAGCCCCACTGCTGCATCCACTGATACAGACAGCAGGACTCGGCCCAGCTCTTCCACTTCCTCCTCACCAGCTTTGATTGACAGCAGGTGCATTGACAGGCATCACTTGTCGACATTCAAAGACATCACTGATGGGCACTGAATGGCAGCACTAATAGGCGACACTCAGTGGCACTGATAGGAGGCACTGATTGAAACTGTTAGGCGGTACTGACTGGAATGGTTAGGCAGCACTGACTGGCAATGATAGGTGGCACTGACTGGAACTGATAGGCGACACTGACTGGCACTGAAAGGCAGCTTTGATGGGCACTGATATGTGGCATTGATGTGTACTGGTAGGCACTAGTATGTGGCATTGATGGGCAATTACAGGTGGCATTGATGGGCACTGACAGGTGGCACTGATGGGGCTACACAGATCATCAGTGCCCTGATGATCAGTGTAGAGGACTGCCGATTAGCAGCTCTCCTCTCCTCACGTGCTGTCAGCATGAGGAGAGGACTGCTGATAACTGGCATTTCCTATTTACATGTGATCAGCTGTGATTGGACACAGCTGATCACATGACAGAGTCGACATCAGTGGCTCTTTACTCTGATCGGTGATCCGAGGCGGTTAAAGATCAAATAGGTAAATGAGCTTCTTTGGCTTGTTTGCCATGCACAGGCACAATACAAGTAATGCATGAGGAGAAAGTGCCCATTTTGAAGGTTTATATGCAAGTTATTGGCCATAAAAGGGGTATGGGCCCTGCCCTTAGGGACATGAATCAGTGGAATTTTTTTTTTTTTTAAAGTACTGTTTTTAAAGGGGCAGTCATTTTTCTTTAATTTAAGGTGAAAAAAAAGAAGAAAAAATTCCTTTAAATCTCATACCGGGGGGGGGGGGGGGAATCTCCCCTTAAACTACCTGCAAAGTTGCACATCTGCCCTTTAGGCCTAGTAGGACTTTTAGGGGAACAATACCTCCCAAAAATGGGGGGGAAAAGTGTGTGGAATTTTCCCTAAAAGCCATACCAGACCCTTTAGGCCTGGTAGGACTTTTAAGGGGAACACCACCCCCTAAAAATGGGGGGAAAAGCATGGGTTCCCCCTAAATTCCTACCAGACCCTTTATCCAAGCACAGGCCTGGCAGTGCAGGAAAGGAGGGGACAAACGAGCGGCTTTCCCCTCCCTGTGGCTTACCAGGCAATATGCCCTTGGCATGGGGTGGTTGTGTGGGTCTACGAGCAGGGGAGCTCACTGGCATCAGGGTACCCCTTTAACTAAGGGGGCACCTTGATGCTGCCTCACCCCTTGTGAATTTTACTAAAGAGTAAAATTTAGTAACAAAAAAAAATCCTTTATTGAACAAAAAACAATACAAAAGTTTTTGACAAGTTCTTTATTTAAAAAAAAAAATCTAAAAAATGGTTTTATCGATGTAATCCATTGTCAATCATGGCGTCCAGCGTTGTCATGATGAGGACTCGCTGAAATAAGAAAAAACCCAATGTCCATCGACCCCATCCGCCGACCACTCGCCGCAATCTGAAATTTGCCAATCAGATGTAAACAATTGGGTGGAGCTAGCAGTGACCTCACCGCTAGCTCCGCCCAATTGTGCTGTGATTGGCCAAAGCATTGCACCTAACCTGTGGTCAAGTGCATTGCTTTGGCCAATAAAAATACACTGTGAGAGCACAGTGCATTGTGGGGCGCAGTGGGCGAACAGACCGCCGAATGCACTTACCATTCCCATGTTCGCCGCACACACGAACGGCCGATGTTCATGTCGAACATGCAGCCCATCACTAGTCAATATTATGAAAATGAGATAAGCCCAGTTATGTGGTTTAGATATACATTATTAAAAGTCCAAAATTAGATAAAGGAAAGGAAGACAATTTATTATATGGGTAACCTGATTTACTATCAACTGCCAATCTCAACTGTCACCTTGAACTTTCTTTGACAACAATAAAGGTAAAAGTACTAAAACCAGTGGTGTGCAGTAATACTTCATAGAGGGGCTCATTCACATAAAAAGTCAAGTACAAAATGCTTAGGCCTAGTACACATGATGAGAAAATCGGACAAATGATCATGTGTTGTGGTGCTACTAACTAACTGCACAAAAATTCTGATATGATCCAGTACAACTTCCTGTGTGTGCAGCAATGTAACAGCGTGTAATCGGACGTGATGTCATGTATGTGTCACCCCTCTGCAGACAGTTACCAAATTGTAGCAATAAGATTATCACTTCATTATTGCTATTACGTATCATTTTTTTTCCCTATTTAGGAACATTTGCGTCGTAAACAAAGACTGTTTTCATTGCCTTTTCTCCTGCGTTTTTTTTTCATGTTTCTGATCATGTGTGGTCTTGGTCACTCAATTTTTTACAGACAAATGCTGTACTGATTAACCACTTCAAGTCCAAACACTTTTACCCCCTTCCTGTCCTGGCCAATTTTCAGCTTTCAGCACTTTCACACTTTGAATGACAATTGCGCGGTCATGCAACACTGTACCCATATGAATTTTTTAGCATTTGTTGAGACAGATAAAACTTTATTTTGGTGGTACTTATTCAACGCTGGGATTTTTATTTTTTTTTTTTTGCTATGTAAATGAAAAGGTCCAAAAAATGGTGAAAAAAGTGTTTTTTTATAAAAGTTTGCAAATAAATAATATTTCATCATAAATCTTGGCCAAAATGTATTCCGTTATCTTTTTAGTAAAAAAAAAAAAAATAACCCAAATTAGTTTATAACCAAAAACTATAATTTTTAAACATATTTTTTTATTTTTTTATATTATTTAGGTTTTTTTTAACATACTGTCACCCTAGCAGTACAGTGTCACCATGGTGACACTGTACTACTTGTGGGGGGTGATGAAGATTTTTTTCTTTTTACACTGATTGCTTTTACACCCATAAAGGCGGTAAAAGCAATCATTTCTCCTTCTCTCTGGCTGCATTCTTGCAGCCATTGAGAACTACTGTGTGAGCTGTGATTGGTCACAGCTTGTCACATGGTACAAGGCTGTTGTGAATAGCCTTGTACCATGTGACCTCTGTGATCATTCAAGTGACATCTTGCTTAATACTCTGCATGTGATCACTGATTGGCCAATCAGTGATCACATGATCGGGACCTCGCACAGAGGTCTCGTACGACGATCGGTGTTCCACTGTGTTCGGAGGGCACAGCGGGCACCGTAACGCGGTGCTGCTCGCTCCCAGGGAGCACACAAGCAGGGGGCGGGGAGGCTGTTTATAAATGGCCACCCGGCCCTGCACTGCCACCGTCCGGACGTTTATATACAACGGCCGGATGGGAGGTGGTTAAACGAAAATCGTTCGTACTGTTATCCTTCCAAGAAAAATTTTCGTGCTTGTCCTTTCAGATAATTTTGCATCTCGAAAAATGTGTACTAATGAACAGATTATCAGACAATCACTCCAAAAATCATTTTTTTGTCTGATTTTCTCATCATGTGTACTAGGCATAGGGGTTTGTAGATGTGATTTCTCCCTGATGCCAGGTTACAAGTTTGCTTTCTGCTGCTTCCTTACACACACACTGAGGCTAACATACAATCTGTTGGGCAAAATGAGTGAGCGTTGAGCTTAGCAAATATGGTGTTCAGTTCAGGCAACCTATCATGTGTTAGCAAAAATCTTGTTTTTTCCATTTAAAGGTATTGGGAATTCAAAGTAAATACAGCCGTGCTGTACTGACTAATGGTCACTTACTTCACTGTTCGAAGTAATTGTAAAGGGAACAGCCCCTATTCCTTTATTATAGTGGTCTCTAAACTGGGGGCCAGATATGGCCCTTTGTTTGCCTTTATTTGGCCCTTGGAGCACTATTCCATCCACTGACCCCAACAATGGCATTATTCTTCCCATTGACACCAACAATGGGGTACTATTCCTCTCATTGACACCAATAATACGACATTATTCCTCCCACTGCAACCAATATTAGGGCACTATTCCTCCCACTGACACCAATGATGGGGTACTATTCCTCCCACTGACACCAGTGCTGGGGCACTATTCCTCCCACTGACACCAATGATACAGCACTATTCCTCCACTGACACCAATGATATGGCATTATTCCTCCACTGCAACCAATAATGGGGCACTATTCCTCCCACTGACACCAATGATGGGGTACTATTCCTCCCACTGACACCAATGATGGGGTACTATTCCTCCCACTGACACCAGTGCTGGGGCACTATTCCTCCCACTGACACCAATGATACAGCACTATTCCTCCACTGACACCAATGATATGGCATTATTCCTCCACTGCAACCAATAATGGGGCACTATTCCTCCCACTGACACCAATAATGGGGCACTATTCCTCCCACTGACACCAATGATGGGGTACTATTCCTCCCACTGACACCAGTGCTGGGGCACTATTCCTCCCACTGACACCAATGATACAGCACTATTCCTCCACTGACACCAAATGATACGGCATTATTCCTCCACTGCAACCAACAATGGGGTACTATTCCTCCCACTGACACCAATGATGGGGCACTATTCCTCCCACTGACACCAATGATGGGGTACTATTCCTCCCACTGACACCAATGATGGGGCACTATTCCTCCCACTGACACCAATGATGGGGTACTATTCCTCCCACTGACACCAATGATGGGGCACTATTATTCTCATAATACCAAAGATGAAACATTTTCTACTCCCACTAGCCACAGTATGGCCCTCCTAATGTCTGAAGGATGGTAAAATGGTCCTTTGTTTAGTAGGTTTGGAGACCCCTGCTTTAGTAAATCAATCCCACTGATTTCTCAAGGGTACCTTTCCTGAAAGATCACTAAAGCTGGCCATACAGTGATTGAAATGTGTCCAGTCCCTGCTAAAGAGGCTGAATTTCAATTGGTCGACAGAAGTTGATCAAACAAAGGAACATGTTTGAAAATTTTTCTCAATTAGCTGCTTCATCCCATCAGCTGTAGTCACTACCTAGTACATTCTGAGCGCAGTGGGTGCAACTGTCAGAATTCCTCCATCCACCTCACTGCTGGCTGAACCAAAAAAGCCTAACTGTATATCCAGCTTTAGTGTGTAGTAAGGGCCATTCTTTGTTTACACAAGGCAGGATACAAGACAGCACTCAATCCTAATGTGAACATCACCTTATCGCAACCTCCAAAAACAAAAACCACAGCGCATGCTGCACTGCATTCATATCATTAAAGTGTTACTAATCCCAGATTCACTATATCTGGTCTCCCACAGTACACAGAACATGGAAGTGCAACTATTTTATTAAATATAAACTGCTAAATACCTTTTCTCATCAGCAGTTAGAGCAGTCTTGTGACTTCTATCAGTGTCCAGCAGAGTACATGTAAAAGCTTGTAGGGGGAGTTTTCAGTTTGCACTAGGACACCTGACCTCTGTCTGGACAGTGCTGATTGGCCCTGTGCTGATCACATGCACTCTCCCAAGAAAAAAAAAACCTCTCTAGCAAAAAAACACCAAACTGAGCATGTGCAGAGTGACACAACACGATATGTCTTATCAGGAGCAGAGGGGGACAGTGGAAGAAGGGGATAATCAGAGAAGTCAGGATCAAACAGCAGTTTTACACAATGCAGAGAATTAACCCCTTAGGTTACACAGTGAGTATAACAAGCATACGTTATTGAATATACGGACTGATTTTACTATTGTGGGTGTATTAACACTTTAAGACTAGGTTCATATTGTTGCAATACAATTTTAACCCAACTTTCAGTGTGATTATGTATTGCTACTTGGATTCAACTTTGAAAAGGCTTGTATAGTCTATGGGGCTAAAATCCCACTGGAATTGCATCAAAGTAATACAGGAACCTTTTCCAAAACCGCTCGTTGCCGAGTCGTATTGATGTGAATGGACACCATTGAAAACAATGTGATTTCTCTTGCCATGAGATTTTGTGCAACTCAAGTCACATTTGAAATTGCACTAGTGTGACCCAGGTCCTAATGCCCTTAAATGAATTTGCAGAATCAAAGATTTTGGTTTAAATTTTTTTTGTACTTCCTAAATTTCAATAGGCACTGGTGACTTAGCCAGGGCCTCACAGCCACCCCCCCTGGGAAGGCCTACATCACCAATGCCTTCCAGAGAGTTCTCGCCTGATCTGGCACTTGCACTGTACGAGATATGGCATGGCAATTAAACCATAACTAGCCCTGACAGATCAAGCATGATGCATGTGTGAGATCAGGTGCTGAAAAAAAAAAAAAGATGACCACTGATGACCACTATTGCCGCTGGCCACTGATGACCACTTTTGCCGCTGGCCACTGATGACCACTTTTGCCGCTGGCCACTGATGACCACTATTGCCACTAATGGCCACTATTGCACTGGCCACTGATGACCACTATTTCCACTGGACACTGATGACCACTATTGCCACTAGCCCCTATTTTTAACATCAAATGGCCATGCGAGATGAAGGGTCAAAGAAGGAAGGACGTGAGGGAAAAGGTCAATCTCCTTCTCTCTAGTTCCCTGGTCTCCTCCTCCCATGCCCGCCTCAAGGACTTCTCCAGGGTGTCACCCATCCTCTGGAACTCCCTGCCCCAACCAATCAGACTATCACCTACTCTCCTCTCCTTTAGGCGCACCCTGAAAACCCATCTCTTCAGGGAAGCCTACCCCACCACCTGCTAACTTACCGACCTCCTCCACTCTTCCTACCACTCCATTCCCCACAGCTATCTCCTCCTGTGCCACCATCCCCTCCCTCCTAGATTGTAAGCTCGAAAGAGCAGGGCCCTCGATCCCCTCATGTTTTGCATTGTATTGGTATTGTTCTGTCACATGTTCTGTCCCCCTTTGTAATGTACAGTGCTGAGCGAACTATCCGTGCTTTATAAATACTGTATAATAATAATAATCTAATACAGAAAAAGTGTGTTCTTATTGGTATCCCTACATACATTTATTAAGCACTCTCAATTTTTAAGGTGGAAAGGCCTAGATTCCGAGAGCAATCAGAGTAGATACTTTCATCGTACTCGAATGCTCCCTGTAAAAAACACATACAAGCAGAGATAACTCATCTCTCCTGCTGTTTTTGCTATGGGTTAACATCTTTGTAGTCTAGAAAAAGCCTAGTTATAAAGTTGAATCATGGAGAATAATGGCGTTTTCAGCTCTACAGAGCCCATAAAGGACCTTTTGTTCCTCTTCATTCCTGATGGACGTCTGTACACACCTGTGGTCTTAGACCGTAGTTCCATCCTAGTAAAAGGTTAACCTACAAATACATCCAGCCTTGCCTTGCAGCTAATATGCCTGTTCTTTGGTGTACACATATTTTTCTCAGCACCTGTGACCCAAAGGGTTAAAGGGAAGCTGACAGAAACTTAGAGAGCTCAGCACAATTTTTATGAGTTGCAGGAAGGGGCAGCAGAGAAAAACTCACACTCCATAACAGATTGTGGACACAGGATCATCTATCAGGACAGCAGCGCAGCCAGTTTCGGACGGCTCTGCTCAAATGAAATAATATATCTTTGAAAAGCAATGCCGGCTTTAGGATGTGGCCCCATATATCAAGAGAGTGGATACGCTCCGGGTCCATTAACACTTCACCTGGTATCCCCCAGTCCTTCAGAGGACGACCCTGCCCTTGTCCTCTTACTCACTGCTCATCTTCGGAGGATGTAGAACACAGGGAGGGCTCTGAGATAATTCAAAGGCAATGAAGCAAGGAGCCTTGTGACAGGTTTAAGCTTCTAGATCTGTGACTATGCAGAGGTAACCTCTAATGGGAGAAGACAGCATCCGGCAATGGAAGCCAGTCTGGAAAACTACATTACCCTATCTCTTCAGGAGAAGAAATCATTTCCAACAGCTTTCTATCACTGCGGCCAGTAGGATATGAAATTACGGAGTACATTCATCTGAAGACACATTGACAATGTTTACTATTTACATACCAAAAAATATATAAAGATAATTAAATTTGTTTCTTGCAGTTGTTTATTTATTACAGGTACTTACATAGTGCCATCAATTTACGCAGCTTTTTACATATATTTTGTACATTCTCATCAGTCCCTGCCCTCAAGGAGCTTACAATCTAAGGTCCCTAATTCATATTCATACATACACATACTAGGGCCAATTTAGACAGGAGCCAATTAACCTACCAGCATGTCTTTGGAGTGTGCGAGGAAACCGGAGTACCTGGAGGAAACCCATACATAGATACAAGCATGCATACAGTACATACAATTACATATCGTGGAACCCCCAACAAAAAAATAAACATAGCTATATGCACCTTTGCATGCGCCTCTTCAAACATCTTCAATTCAAAATGAATGGGATATTAAAGCCAAAACCAAAATTGTTATATTTGCAGCCTACCAATCATTAGATGTGGTAACTGCGTTCGGTTTTTTTCCTTTTATTTTCACCTGGTGATCTGGCAAGTAACACACCTCCTGTTTTAGGCTCCATGCACACTGGGTGTTTTGATAACACTGGTAACGTTAGCTATATAAAGTCGCGTTAAAACCAAGACTTTTTTCAGCTTTTTTATCATTTTTGCATTAGCGTCCAGCAGCTTTTGTTGCGTGTAGCAGTAGCAGTGTTTTCCCGTGTTTTTTTTGCGTTTTGTAGCGGTTTTGCATTAGTGCTTAGTGGCTTTTGCCACGTTTAGCAGTGTTTTCTCACATTTGTGTTTTTTAACCTCCCTGGCGGTATGATTATTTCAGATTTTTGGTGCTGAAAGCAGTACCATTATTTTGCATGGAAATTTGGCGTTTTATATTGTAGGCCTGTAATTTTTAGAAATAACTCACTGAAATCTGTCTGAACAAGAGTCTAGTGAACATCCCAGGTAGGATAAAACTTGAAACACAAAATCATAAATTATAATTTAATAAATAATCATAAAAAAAATTATATAATAATAACTTTAATTCAATAATATAATCAAACCAAAAACACTGAAATTTGAAATATAGCGCCAAGTTCGCACATCACTGAGCAAAGTCGCAAAATCGTTTTCAGTGTCTGATGGCGAATTTCCCCACGAATCATTATCACTCAATTCTGCAAGTGGTTCTGATTTACTATCGCTGTTCTCTAGCTGGTCTAAAACCACTTTTGACCTAAAGGGACGCTTTTTGGACGCCATGGACTTTTCTCAGTTTCCAGGCAGAAAGAACAGTCAAAATGCAGGCAGGGCACAGGACAAAGCACTAGGGACAAAATGTATGTGAAATACATTGTAATAATGTTTTACTATGTTATTTTAGTGATTTTAGTGAATGTCGCTTTTTGTCATTTTCAAATTTCCCGCCGTTCCGTTCCTCGTATGTCCCGACGCTCGCAGGGGACGGAACCCAGATGACAGATGCCGGCATCCGCCGGAGTACATTACAGGGGACACTGCAGGAGGGACATCGCGGGAGTGCAGGACAAGGTAAGTGATCGAGGGATCCCGGAGCAGCGCCGTATGGTAAGCCCGAGTGTAGCTTGGGGTTAACGCTTGTGGTACTGAAACTTTACCCCGAGCTACACTCGGGAATACCTCCAGGGAGGCTACGACAAAAAATAAATTTGTTCTGGTCAAAAAAGTCCAGAAACGCAGGTTTGCGGTGTTTTATTGTGTTAGAGCGTTTTTACAGCTAAAAAAACTCCTCTAGAAACCCACTAGCTCTGGGTTTTTTTTCCAGACGCCCTGCCAGAAAACGTTGATTACAGTCTAGGTGTGCATGGACACATAGGATAACATACTGGGGGGTTTACTAGCTGTAGAAAAAAATGTCAAAAGCCAAAAACAGCAGCTGTAAAAACGTCCAGTGTGCATGAGGACTTAGGGTGACTCCACTCTGGATGAAGGAGCAACAGGGACACCTTTGGACAGCAGCATTTTGTCAGTCTTGGGGAAGGGGAGTGTTAGATGTACTAATGGATATAGATACATTAAAACATTGAAGACAAACTCCAGCTAACATATTTTAAGCAGTCGCCGAAAACAGATTTTTTTCCTTTTGGGATAAAGGTTTTACATGAACAAATAAATGCTGATCATTGTAAGCACCCCTGTCAGTGTAAAAAGATTTATCTCAGCCCTCTAAGTGCTATATCTGCTGGACAGCTTGTTCTGTTGAAAAACAACAGCCTTACTGGTTAGATCACCAGGTGAAAATAACATAAAGAAAGCCTACTTAAGAAAATAAAAACAGCCATCGCATCTAATTGGTAAACTGTAACATAATGAATGCTTGCTTTTAGATGTAATACTGATTTACATAAAACCTTTTTCTGAGAAACCTACATTCTATTTGAATCTACTTCCTGGTTACCTTAGGCAGTCCTGATGTAACCCTGGCTTCATTGGTGCACCCTGGGAAGGCTACGTCACCACTGTCCTTTCAGGAACATCTGAACACTACACTCATCTTCTTCAGCTTTTCCAAGATCTCGAGATCTTGGCAGAGTGGAGATTTTTTTCTCAACAAATGTATGTAATATAATACATGCCAATTATGTTTTTGTTTTTTTTTAAATGGCGCTGCAAGAGTGCAACTCAAGGTAGTGACAGAGTGCTGAGACTGGAAAAACAGTAAGTATTACAAAATAGATTGCATTAATGTAATTTGG